AGTGACGTGAAGTTCAACTAATGGTTATGGGATATTAAGTCCATCAATTGTTACAGCACATGAATCTGTGTAGTAATCTGTGGATATGTGCATAATTTCCTGTATACTTACTTTCTATACATTTGATAACTAGAGATTAATATTAGATAATTGTCTAAATGAATCATTCTTAGATTTTCTTTCTTATAGTAGGTGGACTAAAATATCCTATGACTAAAGCGAAAACGTTTTGAGTTTTTTAGAAAACTGCCATCTGCCTAGCACATTGGACTGGAATAATCTGAACGGATGTGAGGATCTTGTCACTTGCTTCTAAAGTGGCAACTGGTCATTTCACACTGCACTCATGAGATATATTGTCAGCTACAATAAAAGAATGCCATTTCCAATTTGTCGGGCTACATATATAACCTTCTATCGACCCATAATATTTAGAAATCTTCATCGCTCTGACGTTTTAGTATTTTCCTTGTTATAACACTAGAATGCTGTTTGTTAACGTTTATTTACACATCTGGTGTTGACCAATTTTTAATCATTTTTCGGATGGTTGTGCAACTAATACAAAAGTCACAAAATCTCGATATCGAGAAGCTCGAAATATTTGTGTTTCAACCCTCCGAATGTCTAGAAGACTGTACGAAGAAAAACTTGATGGGGAATCTTTAGAATACCCTAGACGCTTATACTCGTACACAAGCCAAATAACTAAGAGATGAAATATCCCGACATTATGAAGTGACAGTAATGCTTCATCGTTAGTGCAGGACGACTCTGGTAAAGCTAAGATATTCTCAAAATACTTTAGCAATGCATATACCGCAGAGACATCCTTCCTTTCAGTACATACAAACCCAATCACACACACTGGACAGCGTGACCCTTAAAGATTTCGGTGTCTTTGGTCTGCTGAACGAGCTTGATATTAGCAAGTCCATGGGACCGGATAAAATGCATCCTAGGTTGCCAAAGGACTGATCAGATTTCGTCGCGAATCCCTAAAGCACATGTTTTAATTTATCTGTAACCCAAGGTCAATTACCAAAACACTCGAAGAACGCCATGGCAAGTCCTGTCTTCGAAACTGGTACGAAACATAAGCCTAAGAACTATCGACCCGATAGTTAAATTGGAATCGGATTGCAAATAAGAGACGATTTCAGGCACTACGGTTCCACAGCGTGTTAAGATGGACATCGCTGAGAGGTCAGTCATTTTTCATAAGCTAAGAGAATGTTCCGGAAAGGAATCAAAGGCTAGACTTGAGAACGGCCTCAGTCACATTAAGCCCTTGATAAGCAAGCTACACGCAGAAACAGTTTCAGAAGTCAGTATCTGTAAGCTTTATAGAATAGGACGAAAAATGGATTATGAAAGTACTCAGAAAGCTGCCTCTTGAATGTCACCTTTGCTATATTTGGAGAAAGAAGCCTGATACTGGGAAGCTCACGCAAACTTATTGGATCCGGAATACACGTCCGTGAAGATCCCAGCCTGGTCGACCATATTAAGAGACGATAGGCATAAGTAGAAATAAATGAACGCCGCCGAAACCGTGAAAAAGCACTCGTACTTAAGGGTTTTCAAATTGTAAAGGTTCGGAGCAAAACAAGCTCGAAACCACTCCGGGTGGTAAGGGAAAGTTCTCCACAGAATTAAAGGCGTGTCAAGCAAATGCCTAAAAATAAAATGGAGGAGCTCAAGACAATGGTGGATAAAGAAAATCCGCATGTTATTGCTGTCTCAGAAACATGTTTAACGCCGGGAGTATTAAATAATAAAATTCGGCTGACTGGGGGGCTGATATATTAAAGCGTAGGGGAGGCGGTGTTATATCGCACACGCATATTACCCTAACCTTACGAGTAGTTGAAACAGTGGTATACGATTCAGGGACATGTAGACTGGTGCGATGCAAGCTAAGATGTAGACGGCAAGATAATGAATTAGTTGCAGTAGATAATTTCCTCTTAAGCAAACTTAAGTCCTAGTGTAATAGGGGGAAAAGCCTCATGGTAGGTGACTTTAATGCACAGTATATAAAGTAAGTTAATTTTGAAGTAAGGTCATAGGTAACATCATTCGATTGCAAACTGTTATAAACCTCAACTGCATTAGCTTTATTTCAACACATTAGGGATCCCACCAGATATGATTGTCGAAGCTCCTTTTCCCTCTTGGATTTAGTCTTCACGCACGGTGATGACATCGGTCAAATGACTTTACCCCTACCTCTAGGGAGAAGCGATCATGTAGTCATCTTATCCAAATTCATGGCTGAGATTGCCTGTCAAACAGTTGCACCAGCTCGTCCTAACATATGGAAGAAAGACATGAAGGCAATGAACTCCGCAGCAACGGCTGAGAACTGGGAAATTGACTCAAGGTCTTCAGTACAGGAGGTATGTACTTATTTCATGTAGTTATACAATGGGGCCATACAATCAACCATACATGCTCTTGTCAGTCCCAAAGAAGAAGAACGGCCATCCCAGGATAGGCCGGGATATTCGACATTTAATAAGACAAAAGAGGAAATGTTGGAATGTCGCCATTAGCCTCGGCACAACAAGTACAATGGAACGCTACAGGTTGGTAAAAAACACATATATAATTAAAATCCGTGAAGCTCAGAGAAAATATGAAATGCAGTTGGTACAATCTTCACTCAAGCAGCCTAAAACAATATTCTCGTACATTATTTGAAGAACAAAGATGCATCATTGGATTCCAAACATAATTAAATAAGAGAGTGGATCTGAAATGATAGAGGAAGATAAGGAAAGAGCTGAAACTATGGCTATTTAAGGGCAGTTTTCACTCAAGAACCTCCCTCAGACAAAAAACTAGACTCAAATACAAAGTAAATAGACCGCCTGCTCACCGTGAACTTTGATCGAGACGATGTACTTAAGGCTTTTAGCACCTTAGACATGGAAAAGTCAACAGGACCGGATGAAGTACACCCCGAAATCCTGAGACATATTGCATAATATATCGCAGCCCCACTGACTGTGATATTCAATATGTCGCTTGACTAAGGTGTGTTACATATGAACTTGAAGGATGCAGTCGTCACTCCCATACATAAAGCAGAACCAGGACAACTTCCATCGAACTACAGACCTGTCAGCCTCACCAGTTCTGTATGTAAAATACTTTAAAGAATAGTCAAAAGATCATAATAACATTTAAGGAAACCAACAACCTGTTAAACAGCAAACAATATGGTTTCAGAAAGGGTTCATCTTGTACAACAAACCTGCTTATAGCAAGGGAGCATTAGATAAAGGTGCTAGGAAACGGGAACTCAGTGTATAACGTCCACATAGATTTAAGTAAAGCATTTGACAAGTGCCGAAAAATATACTGCCATTGAAGTTAGAAAATCTTGGTGTTGCCGGACCCCTCTTAAAATGGCTTAAAAATTTCCTAGTAGGTCGTTGACAGAAAGTAAGAACAAGTTCAAAGTGCTCCACCTGGAGACCAGAAGTTAGTGGAGTACCTCAAGTTTCTGTCCTAAGTCCTTTACGTTTTATACTTTATGCAAATGATCTCCTAAGTATAGCAGTCCCCAATATTATTATAAACTCACGATATAAAAGTAATAATGAGAGACGCAGATGCATGCACATTTCAGGCAGACTTAAATAATGTGATTAACTGGTCTAAAGAGTAGCTGATGCCTATCAACGTGGCAAAACGTGTCTATATGTACTTTGGGGATACAAACGTTAATAGGTACAGAATGGGGGAAGTGCCTGTACCCATGGTCCGGCCTCATAAAGATCATGGAGTGACAGCGAACCATAATTTTAAGTCTACAGCCTATTGCTGGGAGGTTGAAGCTAGGGGGTTCAGAATCCTTTGGGCTTTATATTGGACATTCACTAATTTAGATGCTACCATGTTCACTGCAGTATGCACAACCCTAGTGAGAACTAGACTTGAAAACTACGTTCAGACTGAAAGCTCCTGTTTAAAAGGTGACTCGGTTATCCTGGAAAAAGTAAAGAGGGAAGGTACCCGTGCAAATCCAGAACTCTGTGGTTTACCATACAAAAAGAGGCTTGAAAAGATAGACCTCTTTATTCTGTCCTGTCGCAGACCAAGAGGTGATCTAATTTTGATTTACAAGATACTAAGAAATGATTTTTGACCTAATATGTTCTCTCTTTTTTTCCCCACTAGATTGGGACATCTCGGAGGATATAGCAGGCTAGTAGAAAAGCCAAGAACGAAAAAAATACCCGTGTCATACAGGTTTTCACACTGATTCATCAATTCCTGAAACCTGTTGTACGAAGCAGTGATGTCCGCACATTCAACTGACTCATTCAAGAGAAGACTGGACACTCATAAAAGCATACTAGAAAAGCAATTAAATAGGCTGTAGGCCTGAATCTGAAATCAAATTACTTGTCAGCTGACTATCGACTTTCCCATCGAATCATCAACGAATGGAATTCATTAACTCATCAAATAACTGGAGCTCTATCTCTCTACATTTAAAAAAGTCGGACCAACTGAGAGACAACCATTGCCATGAATAACATAGATCAACTAGCCTCCGTCCTTCCTAAACTGAGACTGATGTGAACTTGGATCCTGATAAACCTAAATCTGAGTTTCAACTAATTGAAAGTCAGTTTACGATCGATTGTACTTGTAAATTTACATAAAATTCAGAATATTTGAATTGCATTAACTAAAATGTAGAAGTATTGTTTTTTCGAGATACTTTGCCGGTTGAACATCAAGTTCGCAATTCAAATTTGCTTTCCGTGTGGTCTTTGTTATCTCGTATTTCCATACAAGTGTTAACTGGCCTAGAATTGCAAGTTCACCAAGTTTTTACTGCATAGTATTCTTTTTGAATATTTGTAACTAGCTTTTATATGATTTGCACTTTTCACTGTTTCTGGGCTTGGCGGAACGTGTAGCTCTAGTCTCCCGATCTAGGGCAAAGTTTTGTCAGTTCTGAAAAAATATTTAGGTAGCCCCGATAGAGATTTTTGAGACTATGAAAATCCCAAAATTTCCTTTGGTTTTGGGGTTTTCCTCCAAATTTAATGTCATATTGGAGAAATCCCCAAAATGCTTAGTGTGATTTAGGGTTTTCCTCAATATTTTTCCAGACTTATGGGAACGTACAAATTTTCTCATAACTTTGGTAAGAATCAGAATCTCCTCGAAACGATCCAAAACCTGGAGATCGGGGCTACTGATTCTTGATGATCAGTTTCCACACTAAGTTAGTAAACAGCAAACTTATATTTTGCGGTATTCTGGCTGATTTGCCGTAAGTTTATTCGGTTCCTGATAATATAAAGTATTGTTCTCGTGATTTTAAGGTTCCAGTCTAGTTAGGCTCTGTATATGGAGATCGTCAGACGCCTCCCGGTTTTGCTCTTTTATGCCCATGACTAATCTTTAGAGTTCAAACATATCACCTTGTGTTTCAAACAACCAAGAAATATCCTGGTTTCTGTTCACGCCCTAAAAAACAAAACTTGTTTTACCTCCAGTATATATCCATATATATGTTTACAAATTCAATCAGGACTTAATTTACACATATTCTTATGTACTTCTGCCAATTATTAGATCGGGATTTATTAGGAACATCGTATCCCCGATCTGATTATACGCCACACTCTTTCAAGTGCATTTCACCCTGGTAGTTAGACTGCTTACATATTAACTGATTTATTAGAAAATACCGCTAAAGTTTGATTTTTGTCGCAATAGGTCCTTCCATGTTCACTTTGAATTGGATATGTACAACTTAATTTTGTCTTGTCGTTACTGAATGGGGTGATGGTGAGAATGCTGAAAATAACTTGACTAACAGAAAATTCAGCATATTGCAGCTGGATTCGTTGTAGGGTCACTGAGGATTACTTCTTTTCGTACAGTAAGGGTTATAATTTTAGAAAGTTATGAAGTGTCAGCTAATGTTAAGGAGTATTTATATATGTGTAAATCATGCACATGAATTCATTCTTCAGTAATGAGGATTTTATTTATTATTTGAACACATTGGTCTAAAGAGGCATCGAATACATATGCGCAACAAAAGTCACTTGATTTGTGCATGGGCTGTGATACTGCCTGGGCGCCTAGACCGAAGCAGGTAGTCTTCTTACGAGGGGACACCCCACCACTTATCGACTTGAAATACGCAGATGATATAGTCCTGTTTGGTGAAGATGCTGATAAAATGAAGTCTTTTGGTAGCACTGAGCAACAATGCCAGAATGTTTGGAATGCGCTTCTCTCCCTCTAAATGCAAGTTGTTGCTTCAGGACTGGTCTGCGTCAACACCTGAACTAAGGATAGGGAGTGAAGTAGTCGAGCGCGTTGGCAACTTCACTTGTACTGAAAGTCTGATCAGCCCTAATGGGTTGGTGTCTGACGAAATCTGTGCACGAATTCAAGAAGCTCGTTTGGCTTTTGCCAACTCACCTCATCTATGGCGAAGGCGAGATATCTGTCTATCAATTAAGGGACGAGTATACTGCTCAGCAGTTCGTTCTGTTCTACTTTACGGCTGCGAAACATGGTCATTAAGAGTAGAAGATACTCGTAAGCTACAAGTATTTGACCACAGGTGCCTTAGAAATATTGCTGGCGTCTGTTGGGATCACCGGGTAAGTAATAGTGAGGTTAGACGCAGGGTATTAGGTAATGATGGTAAATCAGTTGATGACGTGAATTTCCATCGACTGAGATCGTTGGGCCACGTGCTGCGTATGCCTGAACACCGATTACCACGACGTGCAATGCTAACCGGTGTTGGGGATGGTTGAGGGAAAGCTAGAGGCGGCCGAAACAAAAAGTGGCATCAGTCCTTAAAGTCATTAACTTCTGGTCTGAGCCATGTTGGTAGATGCAGACTACTTGGTTGGGGTCCGCGTGACTATCATAACCAATGGTTAAGAGACTCTTGGAGACATGGCTCAGAATCGATCACAATGGTGTAGGTGTATACACTCTCTGTCTTCCCTTAAACTAAGAGATTAAAATCGCCTCATATCTTTCTTTCTGTACTATGCAATCTTTCTTTTATATATTACCACCACTGAATTAACTACTTCTATGAATCCGGTGTTCATCTTGTGCTAAAGAGGTATGGCAACTTGAACCGTTGTAAATATGTGCCTGGTCCTACGTCGCAGCTGACTGACCACACCCTGAGCCTTCGACCTAAAGTTCTGATCCACAAGGCAGTCAAGCAACCTAAGGAGATGCAGTCCCAGAGTAGCCGGTAACCAACAATTTGTTTATACGTCATTTTTCCTTCAGGATCCTGGAGTCCATGTGCACAATGGGTTTAGAATCAGGGTTTCCCAACTCCGCTAGGTGAATCCTCTGTGTCGACCAACCCCGTTAAAGCACCGGTCCCTTTCTTTTCGTCCTCTCAATTTCGTAAACAACACCCCTGCCACGAGAAAGTAGTGAGTAGGACTATCCTGACAGTAGATGTATGCACGTGGCGATGTGAGAGTATTTTGTGAAGGAGGGCTGACTCTCGACCGTACCAGAGCATTTAGGGGCAATAATGTTATGACCTTGGATGTCTGACTTTTCTATCACACGATTTATCTACCAATTCGAGTACGACTTATACGAATCTTCACACTAGGCCAACCAATGACGTTCAACCGGTGTGGGCAGTTCAGCGTCCTTATTGGTCCTATGTCCTCCGAGCCCTTCCACTTGAGTCCAGAACAAGATACCATCTTCCGTAATATGAATCGAATCAGAGCAGATCAGACCAGATCGTTTATTTCAGACATATCCGGTTTATATATCAATCAGACAGACCACAACGTACCATAAAATAGGAAATAATATTTGTACACAAATAAGCCTAAAAGGTGGCTGTGAATGTGGGAGGCAGTAGTTAATAAACTGAACATAACTTAAGAACCGTAAATCGTACAATAATAAATTATAGGTCAAAATAAAGGTTGTCATAAGAGGAATATAAATATACATAATGTAATTGTTGAATAGTTATACAATAAGAATATTTATAGAATATTAGTCCATGAATAGTCCTTGGAAGTTACCTGAAATTTAATCTTCACCGGATATAACAAATAAGGATAGGTCTATCGACCTATATTAATTCTTACAGTTTGTAGCAATCCCATTTTGAATATATCAAGAGGTGTTGATATTACATGTTCCCGTAGAAAATTCCAGTAATTCACTACTCGGTACGAGAAACGAAACTCCAGACGTCGACGATTTGATCTCAGTTTTTGAAATTTTTTCGATTGTCTTCGCAAATGATCAGTCCTAGACGGAAGGGAAAGATAAGAAATATTAATACCAAGGTCATTGTTCAGTATACGTTAAGCCAATATCAGATCACTCAGTATTCTACGGTAAGATGACTGAAATAAGTTGAGGTGTGTCAGTCTGTTAGACCTTAAATGACATAACTCAAAATCGTTTGCAATGACGCAGGTGCATCCATTCTTTGTGCTCTCCCAAATTCTAAACTTCTGAATTATTTGTCTCCTTTTTTTCTCTTTCCAAATTTTTTTCACTGAATTATGCTCTTTGAATAACATCTTCAAACCCTAATCTTTCCGATTACTGCTTACACTTTTACTACCTCTATCACTAAGGGATTTGAATCGACAATTGTATCTGTGTGGTAATGTGGTTTGGCAACTCGAACTGATGTACGTACGTCCGAGGTTCTACGTTTTTACTGACTGACTGAATCTATCTTCATAAGATAGGCCAGAGAGACCTTTTACCATTTTATTCCCTCATCCTTGGACTCGTTCCAGCATATCAGCCTCATACTTGAAACAAGGACTCGCTACTTAAACTCCATACTAATCCCATACCAATGAGTTGAGATCATCCTGTAATAGTATTCTACTACTATAAGTATGATAGGCCTTTACGAAAACCATGTTCTCTGAATAAAAGATTATGTCCTTCCATATAACCTATAACAGCTTTAATTTTGACAGCTGCACTGGTTAGACTAACTGGTCGGTAGTTACTAAGTCCCTATTCCTCGCCTTATACACCGGACTAATTATTGCGTCCTTCCAGTATCTTGGCAGTCTGGACTGCCACAGACCTATCAAACAGTATGGCTATAGGTCCAGCTATTACATCAGATAAAGCTTTCATAATCCTAGGACGAATATCGTCAGGATCACCGGACTTGTAAGGCTTGAAATGCTGAAGTAATCTTAAGACATACACTTCTCAATAACCACAGGATCCATCAACAAGCCGCCACAATCACAATTAATCGTTGGTTGTTCCTCATTGCTGATAGAAAACACTACTGAAATGTTCCAATAACGCTTCAGCTTTGTCGGCATCATCTCTTGCCAATATTAATAGATTTTCTTGTACTTAAAATGATGAAATTCCATCACTTCCCTGAGTTCGTCGTTTTATATACGAGAATAACCGTTTCCGACTATTTTTATAATCCCTAACCAATTTTTTTATACGACTTTCTAGTCTTATTTACGCTGTACAAGCATTCCTAGTCTTACAATAACTGGATCTGTAGTGTTCTAAGCCAACAGAGATGAACATGTTCCAGTGCTTTTTCCTACATCCAAGAGGTTTCTTGACTTATTTAGTTATCCATGGTGGACGGTTCTTCGGTCTGCGTGGCACCAAGTATAAACGAGAACGTAACTGAACTAAACTTGCCTTTAAATATAGACCATGCTTCTTCAACTGATGAGCTGGTATCTATTGACCAATTTGTCTTAGCAGCGCACTCCCGAATGACTGATAAGTTAACTCTTCATATATTTGGGTGAGGCTTAACCTGATTGTGTGTCATGTCACTAGCTCTAAACATGAATGACAAAACAGCGTGATCGCTATTTGCTAACGGTGGAAGAATATTTGGGTTGGAAATATCCTCAGTATATCCCCAGTCGCATGAGTGGTCACCAAGTATAGCAAAGAAGAAACATGTTTTGCGCCAAAACGTGTGGGTTTGGATACACACTGTACTAATACATGCTCCATTACCGTTATCAGGAACTTGCTAACAAAGAAGTTTATATATCCTACCGTGGCCATCTCAGTCTAACTAATATCAGGTGCATTAAAGTCTCATAATATCAAGTATCTGTTATTTGCACTTCATAGTTGAATGTACTCTGAAATAAAGCCATCAGCTAAGCAGATTGAGCTGCGATGGATGACGCCGAGTATAAATGTAAAACATCTGGTGGTCAGCTCACAGCTAATGACCTCACAAGTTATATTATCATGGGATTAGCAAGCAAAAGATAGGATGTTTTTATTATTGGTTATGTATCAAAGGACGCCACCTCCTTTCCTACATCTATGTCTATCAATTCTTAGGTAGTGGTATCCGGATAAGTAAAAGTAGTGGACTAAGTTTCCGTCACAGCTACAATGAGTGACCTTAATTTGTCAGCTGACTGACTGACTGTCCAATAATGCTCCTAGTTCATAGAATTTATTTCTTAGACTGCGAGCATTTTCATATAAAACTCCTAGGGAAAACTGCCAATTCACACAGGCCTTGATAGCATTCACTTCCAAGACCTGACTACTCGAAAATCCACTAATCGAAGATTTTCCTCACCATTTTGTCGACGTCTTTCTAGTTCAGCTAGTGCCGACTTCCTTTTTATTCTATCTTCAAGAGATATATCAAGTCTTACTTGAATGTCGGTATTGTTGTGACTACGAGTGCTATTTAACAGAATATCATGTTGCTTCTCCGACCCTAGGATTACCTTAAGCAGTCTATATAGTCGGGGTTCAATACTGTCTTCGGTCCTCTTGCAGTGAACAAGAACACGGGTGGGGACAATCGACTGTATTTAGCACAAAAATTACAGACTATCTCAATATAATGTGAATACCATAAAATCA